TGAGAAAGAAAATCAGCAAAGCTTTACTTATCAGTCAGAATACTGTAGCAAAAGTGATACAAAAATTTAACAAAGATGGAACTGCAACCATCTCACAGAGACGTCCAGGCCATCCACCATCCATTCTGATGAGAAGGGTTGAAGAAAATCGCCATGCAAGTTCACTGCAGTTAGGTAAAGAAGTAGCAAGCCAAACTGGGCGATTGTTTCCTGTGACACATTACAGTGTACACTGCAGAGGAATGGCATGCATGGGTGTTGTCCATAAAGGAAGCCTCTCCTAAAGCCCATGCACAAAAAGGCCCATCTAGAATTTGCAAGGGCCCATGCTGAAAAAGAAGACTACTGGGACTCTGTACTGTGGAGTGAAGAGACCAAGATCAATGTTTTTGGAACTGATGGTTTCAAAACTGTACAGCGTTGCAAAGGTGAGGAGTACAAAGAAAAATGCATGGTGCCTACAGTGAAACATGGTGGTGGCAGTGTCCTTCTGTGGGGCTCCATGAGTGCTGCTGGTGTCGGGGAGCTGCATTTCATTGATGGTATCATGAATTTACAGATGTACTGCTCTATATTGAAAGAGAGGATGCTACCATCACTCCGTGCCCTTGGTTGTCATGTTCCAACATGACAATGATCCAAAACACACATCTAAGGCCACTGTTGCATTTCTGAAGAACAGGGTGAAAGAGATTCAGTGGCCAAGTATGTCTCCTGATCTGAACTCAATCGAACACCTATGGGGAATTGTGAAGAGACAAGTTGAGCATCACTCTCCATCCAGCAACCAGGCTCTAAAAGAGGTTATTCTTGAAGAATGGAAAAAGATAGATGTTGCAATATGTCGCCAACGTGTTCATTCCATTTCTAGAAGACTTGGTGCTGTCTTTACAAATTATGGAGGTCATACAAAATACTAAATAGAGTAGTTTTTGTTGTGGGGGGTGTATTCATTTTTGCATCAACTAAATTTGAGTAAAACTGAAGATTTTGTAATCTAAGTTATATTATTAACCTTCTTTTTCATGTAATGAGCTAAACAAATGTTCTATAAAACTCAGTTTTGTCAAAATTTTGGAAATTGTTCGTGTGTCTTATTTTAATAGGGGTGTATTAATTTATGATGAGCACTGTATATGTACTACTAGCATATAGTTTCTTTAGTAATTTACCTACATAATGATCACAAAGAGTGCTGAGGCTAGAAGGACACATTAGGAGCTTGAGTTTTTAACAAGGTATAAAAACCCAAAATGTATGCCTTGGTGGAACCTGACATGGTACTGTCCAAGAAACACAACAGTACGCCATCAGTAAATGGCAGGATTGAAAGTAAAAAACCCACAATATTAGAGAATGCACAGCTGGCACAAACAAGACCATCATCTGAGAGATGTAGAGGAATGCAGAAGGATGTAAGTCAGCTGAGATATGTAGCAGGTAGCAACATAATAGAAGTCAACTGATAGGGTGCAGAAGAAGGGAAACCATCTGAGAGAGGTAGCAGGAATAGAAGGTGTATTTAAAAGACATGTCTGCAAATAGGAGCATCTTTTTGGAGTGACAACTGGTCTAGAAGAGACACTTGCTCTTACTTTCTGTTGTGTTTCCAGATCAGAAAGTTGCAGGAAATATCCCATTGGAAAATAGACATGGACCCCCCCCCCAAAAAAAAGGCAGGGTTTTAACCTTTTACTATTGTGTAGCTTTAGATACCCTGTCTCTTATAGCAATGCCCTTTACACGTACATGCTACAATGGCACTATAAGAAGGCTGTGTCCAACTTTGGTGTTACAGTGATATCCTGAGATGTCAAATAACTATTAGGTTCGTATACACACAGGACTAAAGTAGGCCAGAAGAAAGTATTCCTAAATATTTTGAAACACGTAATCCTTTTAAGAACCATGGGCAACTATTTACTTTCCTCACTCTTAAAATTTTGACTGCTAGTAAATTAGAGGTGCACTTTAATTGATAACTGTTTGCAAGCTGCACAGATTGCTTTGTGTGGAACAAAAACCTCACGCCTAAAAGATATGTAAATATATGTGGTATTTTTAAATCTTCCACATGCTTTTCTGTAAGTGTCTCTGTGTGATATTAAATTTAACGAGACTTCCTCTTCTTTTCAAGATACCCAGGTGAGTATCCCTGCCAGGAGTAAAGGAGAAGACAGTTATAATAGAAAGGAATGAACAATAATTGCCATGATTTTGTTGAAATCTAATAAGGATAATTACCTTTCATGCAAATGAGAGAAGCAATGCAGACCGTTAATGGGTAATGATGATTTCAATACTAAAAATAATAATGTGCCATTATTAAGATGTGCTGCTTTACAACACTAGCATTTCCCTGTGTTTTCATACAAGTATGTAACCTCTTCATTGCGTGGGTGGATTTCACTCCGATCCACCTTCTCTCTTATCTCATCGACAGACCTGACACGATGCTTCTCCTACGCACTGGAGATGAGCATACTGGAATGTTTATGGTGTTTTAAACCTATCTGGTGCACAGCAAACAAATTTTTTTTGAAAAAGTCAGTTTGAAAAGTTTTAAGTACATAAAGATCACTTGACAGTCCGTTAAATTGTATCTAACATATGTGTCATTTAACTTGTGCTACATTATATAATATATATGGGCGGCACAGTGGCTAAATGGTTAGCACTTCCACCTGTCAGTACTAGGGTCGTTGGTTCATATCTCAACCACAGCACCACCTGCCTGGAGTTTGCATGTTCTGCCTGTGTGGGTTTCCTCTGGGTACTCCAGTTTCCTCTCACACTCCAAAGACATGCAATTAGGTTAATAGATTCCTGTCTAAATTGGCCCTAGCATGTGTATGTATGAATGTAACTTAGGGACCTTAGATTGTACGCCCCTTGAGGATTAGGGACTGATGTGAATGTTCAATATATATGTAAAGCGCTGCATAAATTGACAGCACTATATAAGTACCTAAAATAAATAAATATATATATATATATATACTATATGTATTAAACACAAAGTGCTACAAATTTTGTGTATTTGTGTAGCACAAAGGATGGTACTTATATTGAATAAGAAGTGTCTGATGTGCTGTTGGCTGTTCTCTTAGTTAAAAGAAAAATATGGAATTTCTAAAAAAAAAAACTATACTCACCTACTGTTGGTGGATGCAGCACTGGTCCGATGCTGCATCTGTCCCCTGCTGGCTCTGCACTGAAAACTGAGCAATCAAACACTACTGATCACTCAGTTCTCCCCTCAGTCACTGGCTTTCTGCTATGCCCCTCCAGCACTCAAAGGAGCGACGGGCTGGGGAGTGGGGGGAGTAGCTGGCTTAGTCTCCCAGCGGCACAGCTGAGAGGCTGAGCTAGCTGCTGGTACAGGCTTCTGGGTGGACTCTGACCATCATTTCAGAGCCTGGATCGGCTTTGTGATGTCAACCGACAGAGGGATAAAAGGAGTCACAGGAGTGCAGAATGAACTGCACTCCTGTGATCCATATGATAAGTATAGCCAAAAATCCTTTAAAATCTTTCCCTGCCATAACACCCCCCCCACCCCAGCAATGGAAGTATTAATGAAAAGTTAAAGAATATGTAAACCCAACATTTCATTTTCCTGATATATACCTGCTGTACCATGTTCATGTATGAAAAAGTATCATGTTCTCTTTCTTTGCAACCTTTATGTGAAATCCCTGGTGTTCCTGTCAGTCCCTCTATTTTCCTATTATTAACTGACCACACTAGGCGTGGGAGCACAGCGTGGTCGGTTTTCTGGCTGTGTTAGGAAATCAGCCTTTTCTCCTCCAATGACTTATCCTGACACGTCCCTCGCATAGCCATTCACTGGGAAAACTAGTTTATTGCTGCTTCTTCTCCCTTAACTCTCTATGCAGCTGAGAACAGAGGATGTGTGATCACTTATAAAAATGTTTTTTAAAAAAATGTATTTATAATATTTTTCATATCTATACATACAGTAAATGTTTTGCCTTTCATTTTTATTTTAAACTGAATGTTTTTTTTTAAAAGGTGAAGGTTTACATATACTTTAATATGAGCCACTGAACCTGTCAAATGTGTCGACTATGCCTGCCATTTGATCTTCTATTCATAGAAGCTGTATAATAGCTTTCAGCAAAGAAAAGCACTCTTTGAATGGAGGAGGCGGACCTTTTATTCATCCACATATCCTCCATTAATAGAGTGCATTTTATTGCTGGAAGCTATATTACAGCTTCTATGAATGGAGCAGGGGGCAAAAAGCACAGCCAGCACATTTTTGGGGGGGTGTAGTAGGTCAGTGTTATAACCTCTTTCTTTGATCTAACTTTAATGCACATATACAGCACAACATTTCATACAATACAAATATTTTAAAAAATGCAGCCTGATAAATTAGGTTTCCCATAATTTTTCTTGATGGGGCTTCAGGCTCCTGTCGCATGATTCTGTGTTCTGCAAGCTCCAGTTTGTGGATAGGCTTTATTGGGCTCAAAGAAACGATAGTGGTAGAACTGTTGCCTGCATTATGGAAAGCTCAGGTGCATTGTTAACCACTTCAATACCGGGCACTTTTACCCCTTTCCTGCCCAGGATAATTTTCAGCTTTCAACGCTCTCACACTTTGAATGACAATTGCGCGGTCATGCAACACTGTATCCAAACTAACATTTTATCATTTTGTTCACACAACTAGAGCTTTCTTTTGGTGGTATTTAATCAGCACTGGGGTTTTTATTTTTTGCTAAATTAACAAAAAAAGACTGAAAAGTTTGAAAAAATAAAACACTTTTCTTTGTTTCTGTTATAAAAGTTTGCAAATAAATAATTGTTCTTCATAAATGTAGGCCGAGATGTATTCTGCTACATGTCTTTGGTGAAAATAACCCAAATCAGTATTTATTATTTAGTCTGTAGCAAAGTTATAGATTTCAGAAACTATGGGATATACAGAATATGAAAATTGATCAATCCTGAAGTACTGATCTACAATGTACCGTATTTTTCGCTCCATAAGATGCACCTGACCATAAGACATGCCTAGGTTTTAGAGGACAAAAACAAGAAAAAAATATTCTGAACCAATGGACTGCAGACATAGTACAGGAAGTGACCAGACACTGCGGACACAGTACAGGAGATGACCAGAGACTGCAGACAGTACAAGAGATGACCAAAGACTGCGGACACAGTACAGGAGATGACCAGAGACTGCGGACACAGTACAGGAGATGACCAGAGACTGCAGACAGTACAAGAGATGACCAAAGACTGCGGACATAGTACAGGAGATGACCAGAGACTGCGGACATAGTACAGGAGATGACCAGAGACTGCGGACATAGTACAGGAGATGACCAGAGACTGCGGACATAGTACAGGAGATGACCAGAGACTGCGGACACAGTACAGGAGAAGGACCAGAGACTGCGGACACAGTACAGGAGATGGACCAGGACTGCAGACATAGTACAGGAGATGACCAGAGACTGCAGACCGTACAAGAGATGACCAAAGACTGCGGACACAGTACAGGAGAAGGACCAGAGACTGCGGACACAGTACAGGAGATGGACCAGAGACTGCAGACATAGTACAGGAGATGACCAGAGACTGCAGACCGTACAAGAGATGACCAAAGACTGCGGACATAGTACAGGAGAAGGACCAGAGACTGCGGACACAGTACAGGAGATGGACCAGAGACTGCAGATATAGTACAGGAGATGACCAGAGACTGTGGACACAGTACAGGAGATGGCCAGAGACTGCAGACACAGTACAGGAGATGACCAGAGACTGCAGACACAGTACAGGAGATGACCAGAGACTGCAGACACAGTACAGGAGATGACCAGAGACTGCGGACACAGTGCAGGAGATGACCAGAGACTGCGGACACAGTACAGGAGATGACCAGAGACTGCGGACACAGTACAGGAGATGACCAGAGACTGCGGACACAGTACAGGAGATGACCAGAGACTGCAGACACAGTACAGGAGATGGACCAGAGACTGCAGACATAGTACAGGAGATGACCAGAGACTGCGGACATAGTACAGGAGATGACCAGAGACTGCGGACATAGTACAGGAGATGGACCAGAGACTGCGTACACAGTACAGGGGATGACCAGAGACTGCGGACACAGTACAGGAGATGACTGCAGGAGATGGACCAGAGACTGCAGACAGTAGTACAGGGATGACTGGAGACTGCAGACATAGTACAGGAGATGACCAGAGACTGATACAGTACAGGAGATGACCAGAGACTGTGTACACAGTACAGGGGATGACCAGACTGCGGACACAGTACAGAGGATGACCAGAGACTGCAGACAGTACAGGGGATGATGACTGCAGAGACAGAGGATGACCAGAGCAGGACAGTACAGGGGATGGGCCAGAGACTGCAGACAGTACAGGGGATGACCAGAGACTGCAGACAGTACAGGGGATGATCAGAGACTGCGGACAGTACAGGGGATGACCAGAGACTGCGGACAGTACAGGGGATGACCAGAGACTGGGGATGGACAGTACAGGGGATGACCAGAGACTGCGGACAGTACAGGGGATGACCAGAGACTGCGGACAGTACAGGGGATGACCAGAGACTGCGGACAGTACAGGGGATGACCAGAGACTGCGGACAGTACAGGGGATGTCCAGAGACTGCGGACATAGTACAGGAGATGACCAGAGACTGCAGACAGTACAGGGGATGACCAGAGACTGCTGACACAGTACAGGGGATGACCAGAGACTGCAGACAGTACAGGGGATGACCAGAGACTGCAGACAGTATAGGGGATGACCAGAGACTGCGGACAGTACAGGAGATGACCAGAGCAGGGGCGGACTGACCATTTGGAAACTCGGGTACTGCCCGAGGGCCTGGGGACAGTAGGGGGCCCCATGAGATGCCCCTGTATCTTTTTCATAGGCTTTTTTGAGTTTGGGCAAGGACACAGGGGCCCCATGATCCCCTATTGCCCGGGGGCCCCATGAGTTGTCAGTCCGCCCCTGGACCAGAGACTGCAGACAGTACAGATGACCAGAGACTGCAGACAGTACAGGGCATGACCAGACACTGCGGACCTTTAGGGAGGGAGGGGGAGCAGGTACCTGAATTTGACAGGTACCTGCTCCCACTTCTGCAGAGTTCTCCTTCCTATACTGTGGGCACCCAACTTTGACAGCCGGGTGCCCACTGCGCATTCGCGAGAAGCGCTGCGCTTTGTGAATGGCCCGGTGTCTTTTGGGACCTGTCACGTGTCCCAGAAGATACCGAACCATTCACAAAGTGCAGCGCTTCTCGCGCATGCGCAGTGGGCACCAGGCTGCCACAGATGCCGGGACGGGAAGAAGCCGGCGCGGGAAGACTATAGCGCTGGACCGAGGAACAGGTGAGTTCCTGCCACAGAGAACAGCTGAGCGGCTGGCCCAGTATTCTGACATGGTGAAGGCGGAAATACCGGACCGGCCACTTTATATTCGCTCCATAAGACGCACTGACATTTTCCCCCCTTTTTTTGGGGGTAAAAAGTGCATCTTATGGAGAGAAAAATACGGTAGTTTCTTGAGGCCCAAAAATGTCAGAACAGTACAACTATCCCCCAAATGACCCCTTTTTGCAAAGTAGACAGTCCAAGTTATTTTAAAAGAGGCATGGCAAGTTTTTTGAAGTTGTAATTTTTTTGTCCAAATTTTTCAGAAAATGAAGAAATTAAAAAAAATTATTTTCACAATGTTTTTTTTTTACATACTGTCACCAGTGCAGTACGGCATCATCATATAACTGGTATGGCGGTGATCAGGGACACTGACTGGTGACAGTACAAAAAAAAAATTATAATTTTTTTAATTTTTTTGCATTTTTTATTAAATTATTTTCTATTTTTTTCATATTACACTGTGACCAAAGTAGAATAATGTTACCATAGTAACATTGTACTGCTTTGGGGAAGTGATCAGTTTTTTTTTTTTTTTTTTTTTTTTTTTTACACAATTTGATTGCTTATAGCAAATAATTTCTTTGCTATAAGCAAGCATTTAACTAAATGAAATTGATTCATTCAGGTTTTTCTTGCGGTGATTAGCTGTGATTGGACACGTCTAATCACATGACACAGATGGACTGTAATTTGCCCAGCCTGTGCATGTGATCACTGTGACCATTCACAGCTAGACACACTTGTATGCAATGGATGGCATGAAAGGAAGACATCCATTATATTCAACTGTCATGTGACCTGCTGTGATTGGTCACAGCAGGTCACATGGTACTGGCAACGGGGCTGTGTCCGAGGCACACGGCCGGTGACAGATCTCGCCATAGTGGAACAATGCGGGCACGCACAAAGCGTGATACGGGAAGAACGTCATATGACGCCCTCCCGGTGGGGCAAGTGGTTAACCACTTCACGCCAGCCAAACGCAAATGTGCAGCCTCCTGGTGTCAGGGCCTAGACGCCAAGCGGCCGCACATTTGCGTTCTATTAAAAAAAAACGTGCTGAGAGCGTGTGCCCTACATGCTCCCAGCACACCTGTCTGGTACTCACGGAAAGGTCCCAATCTCCTCTTTCGATCAGGACCGCCATGACTGCTTGTCACGGCGGTCATATGACCCTAAACCCCACCCCGCCTCCCGGCTTCTGAAACCCTTAAAGGGCCGGGAGGCGCCGGCGCCAAGGGGTTAACTAAAAATATTTAAGTTTCCACTTGAGATAACAAAGGCCCCTTGCATGCAGGTGAAAAAAACACAGTGCTTGTAGCCGTGCAGTGTTTTGTTTTTTACAGCTATAAATACAGGTGCATTGCTGTCTATGAGACAGTGTACACAGCAAGATCAGTACTGAAGTGATGCTTTCGGAGTTGTAAAAAAAATGCAGTATTAGCACTGACCACTGTATTAGTATCACTATTAATGTCAGTGTCAGTCAGTTAGTGTACCTCACACTCAGTGTCAGGTAGCGCCAGATTGCAATCCACACTATCGCAGTTTCGGTATAAATAACTGATCACCATCCTTACCAGTAAAGCATCTATAGTTGCATAAATTTCAGTATACAGTAAATACCATAGTTTGCAAACACTTTAACTTACGCACAAACCAATTAATATACACTTTCATTTTTTTTTTTACTGAAGACGTGTAGCAGAATACATTTTTTGGCCTCATTTTATGAAGAAATTTGATTTTTTTAAACTTTTTTCTATTGCAAATGTTTTATAACAGGAATTAGAAAATATTGTTTTTTTTTCAAAAATGTTTGGTCTTTTTTTCGTGTATAAAAAAACAGTAATGATCAAATACCACCAAAAGAAAGCTCTATTTGTGGGAAACAATGCAAAAAAATTTAATTTGCATACATTGTTGCGTGACCGCGCAATTGCCAATTAGAGTAGCAAAGTGCTGAATAGCAAACAAATGCTTTGGTCATGAAGGGTAAAACCTTCCGATGGTCAAGTGGCTAAAGAATGCAATGGCATAATAACATCAATAAGCTATTAGGTCCATGTGCAAGATGCCTGAATAATAGACTGGGAATGACAGAGACAGAGCAAGTAGGCTGTAATCCCAAGCCACTTGAAACATAACATTTTCATGTTTGTCTGAAGAAAACCGTTTGGATTGGCTTCAGGCAGATACTGTACAAAAAAACACACAATTTAATTTCTTTTACGTGTAGATTATTTAAAAAAAAGAGCTGGATTCTTTCCTTAATACACAAAATATAATTTGATATTAACATTTATAGGTAATAACAGCAGGCATTGTTGATCCGGGGAATATCCAGTTGCCTCCTAGGGATCAGGAAATAATTTTTTCCCCAAAATTGGATCATGCTTTATTATGATTTTTTTGCCTTCCTCTGGATCAACTGTGGACACAGTGAAACACTGATCGTCGGACGGGACCTCTGTACGAGGTCCCGATCATGTGATCACTGATTGGCCAATCAGTGAGACACATGCAAAGTAGTAAGCAAGATGTCACTTGTGACATCATTGCTTACTATGTGTGAAATCTGTGAATGATCACAGAAGTCACTTGGTACAAGGCTATTCACAACAGCCTTGTACCATGTGACAAGGTGTGACCAATCACAGCTCACTCAGTATTTCTCAATGGCTGCAAGAATGCAGACAGAGAGAAAGAGAAATGATTGCTTTTACATCCTATATGGGTGTAAAAGCAATCACTTTAAAACAAAAAAAAAAAAATATTCATCACCCCCCACAAGTAGTACTGCTAGGGTGACAGTATGTAAAAAAAAAAAACATAAATAATAATATAAAAAAATAAAATAAAAATGTAAAAAAAAGTTTAAAAATTAGAATTTTTGGTTATAAACTAATTTGGCTTATTTTTTTTTTACTAAAAATATAACGGAATACATTTTGGTCAAGATTTATGATGAACGATTATTTATTTGCAAAATTTTATAAGAAAAACACTTTTTTTCAAAATTTTGGACATTTTCATTTACATAGCAGAAAAAATACCACCAAAATAAAGCTTTATCTGTCTCAAAAAAATGGTAAAAATTTCATATGGGTACAGTATTGCATGACCGTGCAATTGTCATTCAAAGTGTGATAGCGCCGAAAGCTGAAAATTGCCCTGGGCAGGAAGGGGGTAAAAGTGTCCGGACAGTAAGTGGTTAAGTAATATATTTGTAGATGACTTTAAAAATAATTAAGTGTATAGTTACATACAATACAGGTACCTGTGTTAATATCAACCTTAACCAAAGGTTGCACAGCTGCACTCAAACTGGGAGAAGGAGGGGCATCATTAGAAGCCAATCGGGCTCTGTTACATACACAAGTGCTGACAGGCAGTGAGAACACAGGTACTGAACTGATGATTTATCAATGTGTTGAAGCTTCTTCCCCATTCAGTCAGCAGATGTGGGTGGGAAAGTGACACCACTATATTCCTTAAAGCAATTCTAAGGTTAATTTTTTTATTTTTGGAAAATAACAAAGATGTCTATACTTTCCTACTGTGTGCAGTGGTTTTGCTCAGAGCAGTCTGGATCCTCCTCTTCTCAGGTCCCCCACAGGCTCTCCTGGCTCCT